CAATTTCATTGCAACCCAATGTTATAAAACATAATTGGTGGGCAACTAAAACTTTAATCAACAAAACCATAAATCCAGCTTAGACTTCCTGTGCACAAAAATGTATATATGTATTAAATTAGTATCCATAATAAACAATATCTCATTATTATAAATATTTCATAATTTTACTGTTATCAATGGATGTACTATATATAAAATCTTAAATCCAGTATTTTATTGTTTAGTTGGTTATTTGCCAGATCCTTTCCTGCCACCATTTTTTCTCTAATTAGTTTTCTCCAGTGGTGCATCAGACTTGTTGACAATACGTTCCCCCCCATGTCGAGACAGCAGACAGTGTATGCACGCTACCCAGTGCACACCTCAGCCGCTACCGCAGTGCACACCTCAGCCGCTACCCCAGTGCACACCTCAGCCGCTACCCCAGTGCACACCGCAGCCACAGCCGATACCCCAGTGCACACTTCAGCCGCTACCGCAGTGCACACCTCAGCCGCTACCCCAGTGCACACCGCGGCCGATACCCCAGTGCACACCTCAGCCGCTACCGCAGTGCACACCTCAGCCGCTACCCCAGTGCACACCGCGGCCGATACCCCAGTGCACACCTCAGCCGCTACCCCAGTGCACACCTCAGCCGCTACCGCAGTGCACACCTCAGCCGCTACCCCAGTGCACACCGCGGCCGATACCCCAGTGCACACCGCAGCCGCTAACCCAGTGCACACCTCAGCCGCTACCGCAGTGCACACTTCAGCCGCTACCCCAGTGCACACCGCGGCCGATACCCCAGTGCACACCGCAGCCGCTACCCCAGTGCACATCTCGGCCCCTACCGCAGTGCACACCTCAGCCCCTAACGCAGTGCACACCTCAGCCGCTACCCCAGTGCACACCTCAGCCCCTACCGCAGTGCACACCTCAGCCCCTAACGCAGTGCACACCTCAGCCGCTACCCCAGTGCACACCTCAGCCCCTACCGCAGTGCACACCTCAGCCCCTAACGCAGTG